CTTTCCTCATTAACCGGGGAAAAAATTTCAGATTGTATACCCATAATTTTCTCCAAACTTTCACATCACAATCATTAAAAATATATATTTACCTCAAGATTTTTTTTGAAAAATATACTCCCTAACTGGGAAAATTATTTAATTCATTTACCAGGTTCGCTCTGAGAGACTTCGGAGTCTGGTTTATGGGGAAGGAGCACATCTCTTGGAACTGAAAGAAAAAGATTAGAAAACACTGTGTACTATGACACATCTGGAGTGAAATGACCCATAGATATAAAATCCTGAAAAGCATGAATGAAGTAAAGGTACTTTCACAGTGGCTAATGAGCAAAGCTGAGACGACTGTTCTTTTCAAAAAGGAAAAATGTCACTGTGTAGGGAAGGTTCTAGTGGCTATAAAACAGAGTTGGTCACAGTTCATTTTGAAGCCTTCTTTGAGGAAAACAAAAAAAAAGGGGAGGGAATAACAAATTAATTTAACACAAGCTAGGTAGGTCTCCTTCAAATTGTCTTCAAAACAGAAAGTTTTTGCTTCGAGTGGTCAGGTGCCATTTGACAGTCATGCTAAAATTCTACTGATAGTAATAAATATGTTATCTTCAAGTGCATACATGGCCTACAAGTTGAGGGAAACAGTAAGAAAGGCAAAATTCTGGAATATCTGAGTAGAATGAAGTTTTATTTGAAAAGACACTAACAGTTATTATGAGGAAAAGAGAGCAAAAGGAATCAGCAGCTCATTAGAAGCTACCACATGTAAAGTTGATGAGAATGCTTGTTACATAGTGAATGCCAGGTCAGTGTTGCCATCTTTGTCATTCTTAGTGTTATGGCTTCTAGCATATTGGGTGTCAGGGCCTCCTGACATATGAAAATATGAAAACAAAGGACAAAAATGTCAGCAAAATGATAAACCTACTAATATTCAGTCCCTGATATCCAGTATATTTTTAATGTCTGTGTCCAGTCTTTTTTGGCAAAATAAAGCAGTAGGCAGGGAATTTGATACTTAATTTCTCATTGGGGAAAATACCAGGGTGATTTGCCTATTGTTAACGCTAGATTTCTATGGTAAAATCTCCTTCCAAGAGCAAGATAATGTACTCCTTTGACTGTCTCCCCACAAGAAGATCCTTCTCAGCCCTACTCTCTTACTGAAAGTTTTCCTACAACACTGAAGATTTTATAAATTTCAGAGTCCATTCAATGGGCAGTGTTATTTTCTCACATCTTACATGATGCTGGGGGGAAAAACACTAGGATTCAGGCCAGAACTCTGCTTCAGAGAAAGATGAAGAAAACTTCTGTACCATGATATGGTTAAACACCACTTTAACATTAGTGTAGGAATAGATTAAATAACACAGACATTCTCTTTTTACTGCTTTTAGGGGATCACATTTAACTTGCATATCATGTGTGTTTTTAGTCTAGGCCATCAAGCACCAGTGAAATCGTAGTTGTGGAATTTGATACATTGGAAAGAGACTTGACTCAATTAGAACTTCTGTGAGCTAAAAGGTAACATCCAGGGGAACTTGAAAATCTGAATTTTTTTTTGAAGGAAAAAGGTAACTTCAAAAAGAACAGTGGTTGACAAAGTTAGAGAAAACTCATCACAGTAGTGAACATTTCACCTTTGCTATGTAGTATTTTGGGGGATTCAAAAGGTAAAATATGAGAAATTTCCAGTTGTAAATCAAACTAAGTGTTTGGAGGGTGAAGGAGAAGACACTTTGATTAGGCTTTGAGAAGGTCATGACCAGAGAAAGTGGCCTATAGTTTACAAATACCTTAATTGGTTACAGTGCTAGACTATACAAAGAGGAGCTGGGATTAAGGAAAGGAGAAACAGAAGAAATGTGCTACCAATAAATCCACCATGCTGTAAATACATTACTTGCTGCCTGCTTTAGTTGACTGAGGAATTTAGCTGGGGTAAAAAAGCTGCAATTGCACTTTTTAACCATGAAGTGATGATTTAATAAACTGCCATAGCAGACCTTTTAAAGCAGCTAAAATCAGTGGAAAGAAAAGAAATAGAAACATTCACAGGGAAGGGTTATGAATCATTCTCTTACTTGGTCAACTGCAGCTCCAAGAAATGCAAGCTTTTTTCTTTTCCCTATGTGGCATGTCTCTGTGTATTAAATAAGAGCATGATTCCTAAAAACCAAATCTTCCATGCTGGGGGAACTTAATGTAAATAATGGCAGTTTTCTGGGAAGGCATTTTTGATTTCCTTATAAGAATATTTACTATTATTATATTTTAGACTCAGTTATATGAACCAACTTACCACTTATATTAACTCATCAAATTAGCTATCTTTTTGAATAAAAGGCACCACATCAAAGAAAAATTCAGCTGATACAAGACAATTGTGTGTGGAAACATCCAATATGGACAAATGTAAATGAATGTGCACAAATGTTTTGCCAGAGTAGATGAGAGAATCAGTGTGTTATTTTCTGATAGAGATGGTAAAATATGAAGTCTGCAATAAGGTTACATTGGGCTACCAAGAGACTGATTCTCTTAGCAAAGTAATGCACATAGGCTACACATCCTTTCACCTCCAGAGACTCTAATCTTTTATTCTGACCTTGTACCCTTAGGTCCAGTCTGAGAGAAAGCAGGTCTTTTGCCCTTTTGGAGGCCACTTTCTGAGCTTCTCATGTGCTCTTGGACCACCCTTCCTTCCATCTCCTCTAAGACCGTCTATTTTTCATTATTTTTATTTTCTTATATTTTTCTCCATTAGTCCCTATCTCCATTAGTCCTTATTATCCAGAAGTTGCTTTCTCTATGTCTATTAAACAGCTCAAGTGCTCCAACATCCTAAAAATAATAATCATTTCCTTAACATGGCTTCCCCTTTACACTGTCCCTTCTTTTGCTCTCATTCTTTAAATCAAAGAACTATATCTGCCTCCACTTCCTGTTCTCTCAATTGTCTCTTCTCATCCTCTGTGGTCCGGCTTCCACTTCACTGATCTGCAACCATGGATCCATAATGTCATATCCATAGTTCCAAAGTCCAAAATGCTCTGAAACTGAAAGTGTTTCTTTTAAAATCACTTGACAGCAAAACTGGACTAGAAATGACCTAAAGCTATTTAGTTTTTATGCATTCTGTGTAATATAACTATTCATATTTTTCACTGCGGACTTATTAATATGTTTGTAACCAGTGATATATGTGCTATTTCACTTTAAAATCTGAAAATTGCTGATTTTTGAAGTATCAGCCTAGGGGTTTTCAGATACAGGCTTGTGGATATACACTCTCAACTCCAGCAGCTCTTCTGACTCCTCTCCACCTCATTGCCATTGCTGACTACCCTTCCCTGCTTCACCTCATTCTTGATAGTCTCCTGTCTTTTTTTGACAGAAGCTTCTGCTAGCTCCTCTTCCTCTTTTTACTCCTTAAATATAACTGTGTGCTTTGACCACTGACTTCTTATCCAGATGACATTATCCAGGAGGAAGTATAGACTTCCTCCTGGATAATGAAGTCTATACTTCCTCCTGGATAATGTCATCTGCTCACAAGATTTAAGAACCATCTATATGTAGACAGGTGATTCCCAAATCTACATCCCAAATCTTGACTTCTATTTAGAAATGCAGACATACTCTTCAACCACCAGTTAGATATTCCTACTTAAAAGTCCAACTGGCCCTCCAAACCTAGCACGTACAAACACGAGCCTGTGTTCCCTGCCTTAGTGGCATTACCATCCATCATTTGCCCAAGCTAGAAGCAACAGTGTCATCCTTCTCTCCATAACATCATTCAGTCACTGTCTGGGTTCTAGCATTTCCATTTCCAAAGGCATGTCAGCATTATTCCTTTATTTCCTAACTGTAAAAATACTGTAGTGTGACTATAAATTAGAATTTACCAAAGAGAGTATATGTGAAGATTGGATAGTTTTCAGAAATCTAGATTTTCTTCCTGGTTCCCTCTCAGTGACTGAATTCTATCCAAATACCTGTGGGCCAGAAGGGTAACCACAAAGCCAGAATAGCCCTTGGTGTAGAAACAAATTTACAAAGAAGGCACAGCTCTGTTGAACCAAGCATCAGGGTGAGTCCTTTGCTCTGAATTTAAAACCATTCCTCCAAGGCAGATCCAAAGAAAAACTATTTCTCTTTTGATTCTGGACATGGCATGTGAACTCAGTTTGCCTAGATTCCTCATTAAATGTTGTAGATAATTCAACTAAGTGGCTGGAAGAGAGTTTCTAAAGGCCTAATGGATAAGACCTGTGTTATGGCTAAGAATCTATAAAATGGAAGAACTATACAGTGAATCTTAGATTGATTTACTTGACCCAGGTCTAAAAATTCAAGTTTGCTACTTCTGATACCTCTCAGGATAAATTTTGAGATAAATATTATGATAAAACATAACTCTGTCCTGATTTTAGCACTATATTTTATGTTTTCAGAATTTTAAAGAGCATCTATTTCTCTAGGATATCTGTTCATATTGAATATACATGTAATTTACCTTCTGCTTTTTGGGGTATAACCCACAGGAACCAGTAAACAAGGCCTTGGATTCATCAGGACGGAAACCTGAGCCTTGGTGCAAACCAGAAACTGTTTGAATACAACAGAATCCAGTCTGTTTGAACACTTGTGAGAAAGGTGAAATGTAGTAATAATTGCCTTATGATAATTCCTGTAGATATCGCATCACACCCCTAGAGCAACAAGGAACCCCTGATGAGTATGTATGATGGTGGGACCAACAACGGAGTTAGAGACAGAATTCTAACTGAACATCTGGAACTGGAGAGTCAATAGAATAAATCCAGTGGAGACTCCAGGGGGAGCATTTGTGCTTTTGTTCCATTGCTCAAACTTACCAGTTAGAACTTCTGTGAAAAACAAGGTGTTGATGGAATTAAGGCAATTATTAGACATTTAAAAAGAAGAAGAAAAGTTTAACTATTAGATGAAATCATTCAATAAGATTAAGTCACATTAAGACCAACAATATTCCTTTCTCTAATGAAAAGGAAAAGTGAATAAAATCGCTCAAATCTACTGTTATCTGTAATGACTCAATTTGTTACTTTTTTGGTGTGTGTGCAGTTGAAAATAAGAAATCAATATTTTCCAAGTGGGAAGATCAGCTTTTTTCTTATTGGAATTTATAATATTGGCTGTCGGTTTAGTGACATAAATTTCAATTCTAGACTTCAGGGCAAAGGAGCCTCTTCCTAGCCTACCACCACCTGCAACAATCTAATTATCCCATAGCAGCAATAACACCCTCCCTTTCACAATCTGGAAAATACTTTAGCAAGTGAATTCAGACTTGCTTCCAAAATGCCATCATTTCAAGCTATAGAAATATTTTTGGTTTTGGGAATGTTCTACACGCTTTTAGGAGCACTAGGAATTTATAATAATTGGACTTTTTTTTTTAAAAAAAAGAAAAAGAAAAACAATGTATTTCCCAGATTCTCTAGTGAAAGGTGAACTTGGTTTGGTTTATTATAGAACTCTTTAGCTAACAGTAGCTTCCTAAGGTCACTTGAAGACTTAGAACATTGGTGGCCGAGACCCAGAAAATGTCTGGGTCTTTGAAGTCCCCACCCTGTCTACTCCTACAAACATGAGATTATTCCCCCTATAAATGGACAGAAGGCCTTCTCAGATGATAGCTGAGATATAGATTTGTAGCTAAAGAAATGATTTTTTTGTGAAGCATATTTCTTAACCCAAGTTATTGCTCCATTTAACTGGTAAAATAGAATTTGACAAGAAAAAAACCTCAATGCTGGATAGTGTAAAATTTGTAAACCTTCTAAACCCCCCCAAAATGGTTAAACATCATTTCCTCTGTTATTAAAAACATCATTTTATCATTTTTGTGGGAAAATTCTGAATTCTTTATCTTATTTCGGCAGAATATTTGAGCATCATATAGTAGCATTGGTAGGTTATTTTTTTATGTCAGAAAATAAAAGAAAATTTAGTTCTAAAGAAATTTTCTATTCTTGGCATAAGTCTGTGCCTTTTGATTCTATCAATACCTTACTATGTGAGCAATTAGATAACTTTTATGAGAACTTTGAAACGATCCCAACATGGTATCTGAACATACGTGAAATATTGACTTTGCATCCATCAGCTCTCATGTTTTATTGTACCAGAGTGAAACAATGAATTTGGCTCAAATATGAAATAAAGCATTACCAGGTGGAGTATATGGCACTTCTGGCCTTGGTGACATTTTTGGCTTTGAGGTGACACGCTGAGACACCTTAGGCACTGAAAGAGAGAACTCAGATCATTTGGTTTCAGCATTTCCCATTCATCAAACTATGATGAGGCGTAGGCCTGATCACTGATTAGAAAAAAGTATTGAAATGAGAGTTAGAAAAATAAACCTTAAGCTCTAAGAATAGATTAGTTAGAATTCCAGATACTTTTAGAAAAATGAAATCTGAGAAACTGCAAAATTTGACTAAATGTAGAGGTAGGATGGAAAATTTTTTGAAACATTCATTTCAGAAGAGATTAGCAAGCAATGCAAAAATGCTCTTTTTTTCTGGATGTTTGCTTGACTTCTCCTTAACACCACCCCCTACCTCCCAACACATACACATGCCAGGTCTTTCTTTGAAAATGAGTTCAGTGAAGTCAGAGTAGAAGCCCATGAAGCATGGATGAGAAACTTAAATTCAGATCAGGCAATGGCAGAAAGGGAAGTGAGCATGGAATGGAATGGAGTGGGTGGGCTTGCATTCTACTCCCCCTGCAATTCTTAGGCCCCAAATAAACCTTTAAATGAACATGTTCACAAACTAAAATTCTTTCCACAACTGTTCATTTAAAGTAACAGGTGCTAATGTAATAGATACTAGGGGAAAAAAATCTATTTTATTTATGGCTCATTTCATAATTTCAAAAATGCTTTCATAAAGATTATACCCTTTGATTCTCACCATAATGCTGGGAGGAAGGAATTATCAGTTTCGCTTTAAAGGCTTGGGTTGGTGACTATCTGCCTCAGCTTACATAGTTATTAATTACGAGAGACAAGACTTGAACTGGATACTGAGGCCCAGACATTACCCCTAGGTCCAAGCACTTGTGCTGTCTATATCTCAATTGTGCAGGTCACATTTTAATTTGTTTCTCATTTTGTAGGGTTGAAATAATAAGTCTGTCTGAACTCAAAGGTGGCTGTGATAATTAAATGTGAAATGTCAAAATGATGTGAAAACTATACTACTATAATTTTTTTTTTCCATTCCTAGAACATCATTACACAGTTGACACTGACGGATCTGAGTATATTCTAATTTTCACAGTGTTTGCTGCTACAAAAACGAGGAGCACCTGTAGTTTGGGTAATTATAAGATTTCTAGGTATAAAATAAATAATGGGATTGTTAAATATTACCTATGAACACAGAAATTCAAAAATCAAACTTTTATTTAATAACAAAATATCCTTGATGATTTGATCCAAATCTTTATCTCACTTTGCCCTCAAATTCCAAATACAGATTTAAATCTTGCCATCTAATTTATAAATACAATTTAAATATAAATAAGAAGGTGGCATGCCCATTTACAGAATTTCATTCTGAAAAAAGTAGATGAGCACTCTGTGTTACACTTTAAGCTGCACACACTATTAGATGATACCCTTATAGCCCAACAATAATAATTTGCATTTGGTATTGTACATATGAACAGAATATTCTCCCACCCAAATAAACTTTTGAAGTTCATTTTACTCACTTTTTTAAGAGGAATGATTAGAATGTATTTTGTTTTTCATGATTAATTTCCCAAATCATTCCCTTGCATTAAGTAGCACTGACAAAGCCAGAAGTATTTGGGTTTCAGCTACTTTTCAAGGGAGATGCTAGTGGGCTGGGGATTGCTGAAGCTGGGACAGAATCAGGAGGCTCTCTTGTTAGTTAGGCAGCCAGTCCAGGGTTTCAGAGTCAAAGTGGAATGCATTGAACATATGCATCTATCCATTCTGAAGCTGCCTATCTTGTGGAGGAAGGTTGGCTACAGGTCTAAATTAAACAAATTTGAAACTTTGAATATAGTACAATAATGAGAATTTAGAATAAGCTACTGATTTACTATTGTCTTTTTGTAAGTAGAGTACAGCTCTAAAAGAAAATTATGTCTTCCTTGTTACTTCATATTGCTTTTACTATTTAAAATTCCACTAACCAGAAATCTATATCCTCAATGTCTTTATTCCCAGCACTTCTTATTTTTCATCTTTTCTCTTATTTTCCAACATTCATCAAGTTTTCTTACTTTCTTATTTATTTCCATTTCTCCATTCTCTGCTACTTTTGTTCTAAGCTTTATATTAAAATAAAAATTTGAGAGCATCCTTACGTGATTTTATCTGTTGAATTCTTTTAAGTTAAGAGTTTAGTTTCCTATTCATGGATTCAATATATTTGCTTTTTTTTTTCTTTCCCAACTCTATTCATTAATCATTACTTATTCACTAATCATTAATTATTTTCCCAGTATCTCTTATATAGTAATGTTTCACATGTATTTATTGTTATTATTTTAGAATTCTCCTATCAAGGAATTGTTGCCTTGGTACCTTCATATACTTATATATCATACTCATTTTCATAGCAAAGTTTTAGTATTTAAAACACATTTTAAAGCACATCAAACCATTAGTTAGATGCAGAACATAGAACTGTCTTTTAAGGAATTTCCTTTTAAAGAAAAAATAGGCAAAATTTCTCTCAGAATCAGATATTATAGACCATGCCCAAATCTAGTGTTTTCTTTCAGTACAGATACAGAGATCTGGTTAAAGGATTTCTGGTGGGAATTGAGAACGCCTCCCTGGATCAAGCAGAATTTTGTTGCTGCTAATATTTTCCATTCCCCAGACCATTAGTGATAGTGAATCTTCCTTTGGTAATAAATTAGTAGGTGCACCTCATATACTTTTTTGGAAGTAAGAAATATATAAATGATAAATTTAAGTTTAGGTGATTGCCTTAGACTATAACTTCCTTGTCCACAGAAGGATTCAATTTTGTTTCACATCCCTAGTGTTTAGCACATTGCCTGGTACATGGTCAGCATGCAATTAATCTTTGTTGAATGACTAACCGATTAAATGAATTAGTTAAGCAATCACTTAAGACTCAAGGGGCAATAGAATTGAAATTAAGAGAGAAAAGAAACAGGAGATCAGCTGAGTAACGACAACAGACTAGACATGACTAGGTAGATGCTTCGAGCAGGTACAAATGCTAGACTGTACCACACAGAGACTGGATGAGGGAGAGAAGTAAAAATCAGTTGTGAAATGCTGAAGACCTGCCATGGTGTAAATGAGAAATTGAAAAGAGGAAAGACAATAAGCTCTCTTTGAGGCATGTCAAGTTTATGGTAATCCAAAATGGGGATCTGCCGAGGCAGCTGGAATAATTAGATAAGAGTTTGGTTAAGAAGTTAGGGTTAGAGTTAATTATTCAATAAGAGCTTCTTGAACAGAATAAAAAATAGTTGATAATGACTCTTGCTTGGCTCCTTATCAAAATTTCACAGCAGAACAATCAAAGTAACATTGTAATCATTATTTTATAACACATGCTATATGTGTGTATATATATTTCATAACATTAATGTTAAATAAAATCTACTGAAAGGTAAAAATAATAAAATAGGAGATTGGCAAGAGGAGGCACATTCAAGACCTACAGAAAGGATAGGAATTCTCAAGCTGGGAGAAGCAAGGAAAGTAGGTGGGCCACTCCAAAATAATGTAATAATAGGGAAGCTTTCTGGAATAAGCTATTTCAATAATACACTTTTTGATAAAGTCTAAAAGTAAAAGCAAGTATTTATTATGTTTCAAAGGAAGACTTGTTTCACAAGGATTAAAAACTTACCTTGCTATAATTCAGCAGAATAACTCCACTAACATCAAACTCTTCAAGCCAGAATATAAAATATGTATTTACCTGGCTGTGTTTGTGGGACTCTTGGACGTGGAGATGTTTTTGGTTTGGGCGGAGTGCGCGGTGTCTGCTTGGGAGCTAAAAGAAAGGACATAAGGTTTGGCGCCTTTAGGTTCCCCAAGAATTACAGTAACAAAGCCTCTAGTCTCTCAGAGATGTCTGTTGAGTGACTGAAGACCTAAATACACAGCAATTAGTGCAATTAAGCTCTCAACAAGCTACAAAGTATAGGAAGATAATTTTCTTATAACAGAAAACAAAACAATAGGCAATATTAAGTGATATCTAAGATATTCAGCTGGTGAATGAAACTGTTGGAATACCAGAAATATTTACTTCAAATATCTTTTAAATAGGTTAAAAATAAATTTCATAATAACAAAAATTCAACCTTATAAGTTCACACCGTTTTTATCAGATTATCTCAGTATATTTTTAAGTGCGAATAAATACAATTTATCCTAAAAGAAGTTAGCGTGTTATATTCCAAATACACATAGAAAATGAATGGGTTTTAATAGCAAGTACTAATGGAAAAAAATCAATCTTATTACACAAAACATAATTTTTATTGATTATTTTGAGGAGAAATTGAACATAAATTGAAAGCATGCATTACTGAACAAAGTTATTCCTTAGCTGGGTGATTCCCAAAGAAGTTTAGGACATTCAGTGCAAAAACCAATTGTTTCTTCACCAAGAAAATAAAAGGTATATCCTGCTGGAGAAAAGGAATTATCAAATGCAAGTTTGCAGCTTATGGAAACACCTCATTTGGTTTCACTAGTGTTTGGGATAAGAAATATAATTAAAAGAAACAGAATGTTGTCCAGGTCACAAAGTTTCAGGATTGCTGAAAATAAGAGTTGTTAGATCCTAGAAGTTTCTAAAGAGTCTGCAGTGACTTCCTCCTGATACTAAATCAAAATATATAAGGCATACAATGGTTTCAATCAGCAGGATCTTCTCACCTGTGGAAAGATGAAAACTAAGATATGTTGGAGGTTACATTGGTTTAGGAGCCTGGAACCTAGAGATTTAGATCTCTCTTTGCTAATCCAAGGGTCTAAAGTCTCAGGTTCTCCATCAAAAGTTACAGGATTTTTAAGAGTCCTCCACTTTTAAAATTCTGATTCTAGCATTTCTTTCAGTCTAGTGACTTCCTGATTCTCGACTTCCTTGCCTGCTGAGGTTCCTACTGATAAGCTATTTGCTTTCCCTAGGGTATAGAAAAACTGTCTGCACATCATGAGGCAAGTCCATAAAGTGATTCAGAAAGAGATAAGAATTACTAATAGTATTCATAATTAAATACATCAACAATATTATACCTATTATTAAAAAGAATAAGCTTTAAAAAGTTAGAGATAACTGACACAGATTCAGTTAATATAGCCAATGTGGAATTTTGGTAAAAATTAAACTGTAGAGTTTAATAGGTAACATTTAATAGGATATTTCAGAAGATAGTAAAATTAATATCCATATCTCCTTTGGAAATAGAGTCATATACAAAAGTTCAATAGCAATCAAAACACAAATGTGGACTTATTTACGATAAACTCCTATTCCAAGAGAGCCTATAGATATTGAGACAATTTTTCCTTGTAAGAAGTTCATTTAGTTATCCGTGTGGGTTTGTTTTCCTTCACTTCAAACTCCACCACCAAGTAAACCTTTATGACTTGCCAAAGAAACTAGTTTGATTTCAATTTCTCTTATTTGTATGCCATGAAATGGCTAAACCACTGCAGGAAGGACCGGAAAGAAGTAAAGGACATGAACAATGACAAGGTGACTGGCCAGTTATATCTTTTTATGTGGACTGCACAGTGAAATCTGTTTCTGTTAATCTTAAATAAATGTCAGATATCTTAAAATACTTTTTACATGACCAAAGAAAAACTAGTTGAGATGATAAAGTATTTGAAGTTAGTATATTTATTTTAAATGGAATATAAAACTAGTTGAGATGATAAAGTATTTGAAGTTAGTATATTTATTTTAAATGGAATATAAAACTAGTTGAGATGATAAAGTATTTGAAGTTAGTATATTTATTTTAAATGGAATATAAATGTTTGTTCCCAGAAACACTACTATTTTCTATGTTAAGCACTTGCACAGTAGCTGAGAGGTGTTTTTCAGCCATTCCAAAGAATATTCACAACAATTCCATGTGACTGGCTACAGATAATGGATAAAAGAAGAAATGGGGTATCAAAGACTGTGAGCATGATGATTAAATTGGAACTTCTAATGTCAAGCAGTATCCATACTGTCTTTCCAATCTCACATTCTATAAACAGTGCTCTTGAAATACAAAATAATGTATTTACCCCGTTTGATCTGAGGCTCATCTGGGCTGGGTGGGATTACAGTTTGAGAAGGCAGAGGTGATGCTTCTATGGTAACTGAAGGAGAATACCTTGGGTTACCAAGTAGATTTTTAAAACAATAAAGAAAATTGCAAATCTGCAGCAAAATTGCATGTCTCCTTTGTTTGTAATGCACTTAGTTTAAAAAATGTTTAGAGATTCTAGGTTACAAAATAATTTCAAAGTAAGCAATATCCTTACTTTTTAAATTCTCAGTCCACACTATTACCCCTTCAACAATTCCATAAAGATATATTCAATAGTAATTATAAAAGGAAAAACAAAGTAATGAAAAGGCATTAAAGTATTCAAGAAGCATTGAATTTCACTTAAATAATGGAGAAAAATCAAACATGTAAATGAATGTGATGGAATGAATGTTAATGGAAAATATGTTGCTAGGGCAGAAAGTATGAATGGAACATTATACAAAAATATTATCTGAAATATTCAACAAAACATCAAGCTGGCAGAATATGCAATGTTAAGAAAAAGATGCTTCAGATTCAATAGTTTTGCTGACTTAAGAAGAGAAAGAGACCAGGTCTAGATATAAAACTGAATGGTAGAAGTGACTTCATGGACAATGGTTATGAATAGAAGCACCTAGAAAGAAAATTAACTGCCATGACAAAGAATGATGTTGCAACATGAATTCACAATGAGAGAGAACCTGAGGTTCTCAGATGATGGTGACAGTGAGGACAAAAGCTGCTGAGGTGTGTCATTACCTAGTGTGGTCTCAGGTGGTTCAGACACATTTGTAATAGATTCCACAACTGTATCAAAACAAAGGAGAACAACTTTTTAAAAATAGTAAGATATTAAGCTACAGTCAAATATTTCTTTAATTCTCATTCTCTTAAGAATTTACATCATATTTTTTACCATAAGACAACTGGATTTAGACAAGAAAAAAAGAGAACCAAGAGGGAAATCCTAGTCTATAATATTAATCTTCCAACTAATATTTGTTTTAATTGTCATTAACTGGCTGTTAAATGTTATGCCTCAATATTTATACACTGTAGAGAAACTGAAATTTATTTCTATATTCAGAAAGTCAATTATCATTTTAAGAATCCAAGAATTTTGGAAGCTATAGCTCTTCATATCTATTCAATTGTAGAGCAAGCACCAGAGCTTGAACATTCATGTGCCACGGATATGAGACACTAATTAAAAATTTGTTGAATAAATGAATCAAAGCATGAAAACCTTTACTGCCTTCAGTCTTTGGCTCCTCTGGCTTGAGTGGCGCTTTGGCAGTGGGGTAAACATAATCTGTTTCAGCTAATGCTAAGGAGGAAACAGGGAATGTCTGGTTAGTGGAGGGCAGCCTATGGCACTCTGTAATGGAACCCTGTTTAATTTGAAAACAAAGATTAGTCATCTTAAGTAGATACATTCATGAGAATAAATAACATTTAGGTGGATTATGACGATGACTACAATTTAAAATGGCAGAAATGAAGGCAGGAAATAAAGGCAATGTGCTTTGTGGAAAAACTCTCTAACTGGTAGGGTCTACAGCGATTTCTACCTTGAGCAAAGCAGATCATTTTATTTCCTCACATTTTTCAAAAGATTCTAGTGAAAAAAAGATATAGAGTGAGTTCTTGGAAAGCATAGGGATGAATACTAAAAATGATATTAAAATGAAAAATAGAATGTGCATATTCATATTGAAAGAGTCATCAGAATGTTGAAATACTAAAATTTGAATTCAGAGTGAGAGGAAACTAAATAAGGAAATTGTGAATCCTGCATAGCAATATGGCAGACACTAGCACAGTGTTCTGTGTACGATATTTGACTCTCAAGATTCATTGAATGAGCACAGACAAGATGTCAGGATCTATGAAATGTCACAAAGCATGAGGACAGTTAAAGGTGACTTCTTCAATTAAGTGGAAAAGCACTGACTTCCCATTAGGAAACTTTTTTTATCTATAGCTTCCTTTGATGACTCATTGATAAATGTAACAGATTCCAGGACTTCAGAAATAGCAAAACACACAAAATGATACAACTAATGAAAGATGAGTTGTTGTGAGCATTGAATGAATAAATACTAAATATTTAGAAAAGTACCTTGTACCTATAACTACTCCATGCTAGCCAATATGATAATATAGTTTTATTAATACTAATGGAAGCTCTAATAACTGAATAGAACTCATAATTTTATGTGCTGTGGGTTACTAATAACAATCATACCTTAAACTGTCAACATGAGCACCAAAATGCCATGTAGCTAATTAAAAGATGCATAAAGGAGATGAAAAGAAATTACAACCCTATGCTAGAAAAAAATAAGATCCAGTGTCTCAAAATAAATGTCAGGGTGTAGCAACAGCATTGCTAAGAATGATTAAAAATTTTTGTTTTCAATTCTGAAGGGCAATATGTTCAGGTTCACATTGAGTAAAGTGGAGTTTTGTTATCTTTACTGAAGCGAGAACTTTCTCCTTCCTTGATGGTCATTCTTTTCATGTAGTAGAACACAAATCGAACTTACTACTAAAGAGTCCCACAAATTTGTAACTGTTAGTGAAAAATAAGGATAAAGAATAAAATCAGTTCTTCTAAGTGCTTAATCAAATACATGATTATCTAAAATGATATACACAAAACACAGTAAAATGAAGTTTTTCTATACTGTTGAGTAATATAATTAATATAAACATAATGTACTACTACTTTAACACCAATATGCAATCATGGAAAGAGCATGGTACAATATGTAGAGAGTTATTAAATGTGTATTCTTTCGCATTTTTTATTTTTGGAATAACAAGACTTGGAGTTTGTTCTTTAAAGTTCACAGTGTACCCAGACAGATAAAACAATCTATTTACCAGGTTGACTTTGTGTCATTTCTAGGCTTGGTGATGTCACTGGTTTCAAAGCAAGGATTTGCAGTTCAGTGGGAGCTGAAAGAAGAGGGTCTAAGTTGTCAATTACATATAATTTATTTAATAGGTTTTAGACAAAGGTAGCAATGAATTGAAATATATAGACTCTCAAAAGAGCAGGATTATGGAGAGCCATGCAGTTTGCATTAAGGCAGAAATTGATAAGCTATGTCCCTCTAAAATCTAGCCCTCTGCTTGTCCTGTGAGCTAAGAATTGTTTTTACATTTTTAAGTGATAGAAAAACAACTTATGAGTAATATTTTATGACGTGAAAATGGTATGAAATTCAAATACAGTTTTATTGGAGCACAACCACACCCCCAAACTAAGATAATTTAAGGCATATTTACACATCATTTACATATTGGCTTTGGTTGACTTCAGGCTACAACTGTAAAATTGAGTTGTTGTAACAGAGACCAAATGGCCTGCGAAGTCTAAAATATTCACTATCTAACTCTTCACATAAAAATTTTTTGCTGACCTCCTGATCTTGAGCATCCTTCTAAGAATCTGAACTCACACAAGGGCTTTTAAGAGCTTCCTACAGCTGATTTGATGATAGTATCATTAACAAAATGTTCAGAAATCTAGGAATGTTTTGTTCTATGTTCCAATTTGACTACCCTCTTGGGTACCCTCAATAGGGGTCAAGACTTTCTGTTTTATTTTTGCTGTTCTTACCCTTCTATCTACTAATGCAAATCCTGAAGTTATTTCAAAGCCCAGCTATTTTCTAACAGCTCACATAGATCCTTGACTCCTTTAAATATTCTTTCTCTATATCTTTACCACTCAAATAAACAGACTGCTTCTGTATCTAAGAAAATTGTCTTGAAGGTAAGGAAAACTCAAGAATGGGTTTTTTTTCCACAATTATATTTTTGCCTGTTTAAAAAGTAAAGCATGCCCTTACTTTTGATTGCTACCTCTGTTCAGTATTCCACCCAATCCTGCTCAAGTGCTAATAATGGCACTGGAAACACAGAGGTCACCATTGTTGACATAAACCAAAGAAGCAGCGTTTTTTAAAAAGAGGTGAATGAAATGGAATAAGAAAACTGAATAAGACATCTTTTTTCAGAGACAATCCTTATGAGGTCACATGAACTTGACTACACATAGATCTCTCTCAACCATGATCCTTCCGGTCAACTCTACAGTTTTAGAAATGCTAACCACTATTTATGCCCTTTCCCTAGAGGGTGTAGAGGTGAGAAGTACAAGTTAGAAAGCCACATCATTGTTGCTCCTAGGGCCCAACTACAATGGGCTGGAAGAACTACTTAAACTAGAAAACATAGATTTTCTTGGTTTCACAGAGAACTTTCAGGAAAATTAAAGTTTGGGAGGAGGATGCGTTTTTTCCTCACATGTTTTTGAAACCAAAGAAAGAAAATCTTGAGTTGCTATAGTGTTTATAGGTCTAGAAACCATCAACAGCACTGTACATGGACCTATGTTTTCTAAAACATATTGAATTTTCTAGAATTTATTTCCAAAATTTGAAAAACTTTACTATGCTAAGTTGTTCCTTATCATCACTGGGGGTCTTTTAGAGACCAAAATAATATACAAAATTTATTAAAGAAATAAATATTAATATGAATAATTAGATATTCAGAGAAATTTCTAATTGGTGAAGATTAAGAACCACTGCTCAACTGTGGTGGAGAATAAGGACTAATCAAGGTTAGGAACCCTACAACTTGTATTTACTAGGATTGGCGCTTCCAGGAAGTACCTTTTTTTTCCCTGATAATTTAATGTGGAATCCTCATTCCTTAAAACTGGAAGAGAATATTGAGAACATCACACAGATCTTACAGAGTAAAACTGTTTAGAGAAAGTTCATGGTATAGTGCAATTGTTTTATAGCTCTAAATACCAAATAAAAGGAGAGCAATTTGGACTTCAGATTCTTTACTGAATCATATAATGAGATATTAAAGGGGGCTTCATGCCAGATAGATTCCCTCAACAGGATCCAGGAACATCTCTTAAAAATGATAGGCAACACTTGCATTAAGAATCCCGAACTACTTCTAAGTATGAAATGGAATGACGATGGCAGTCTAAGGAAGCAAGAACAATTCTGGCCATGACAGTGAGGGATTGGGTTTTAATGAGCAAGAAAGCATTTAATGAGGTCATAAAAATCATTACCTAATGTTGTTCCTGGAGCCTCAGAACTATGACTAACACGTTCAAAGCCTGTAGTAGAAACTAATCAAATGCAACAACATGAAAATGAGAAAGTTTCACAAAGTATGTCTTAATTTTTCTATCAAAACATTAGTTTCAAATGACAAACAATGTTTTAAAATTTTGAATAGACAGGAAGCAAACACTTTTTTTATTTTTTTGACGATTTGGTCAAACTGTAACAATGAACAATTCATTGCAGAAGGGGGTCTCAACCTTTAAATTCTGTTATGTATCTTACTATGGTCAACATAAGGTTTTCCTAGGTATCTCATTTTCTGATTTTAACTAATACAGAAGCTTGCTTTGGAAAATCTGTTTACATAATATATATGAAAATATATATGAAAATAATATATTGCATTTCTTGGAAGTTGAAAAAAACTATGTTTATGTAACCATGACTATAATAAATAGATCACATGTTTAAATTCAGATACAGCAATAGATAACAGTGAATGATTATGTTAATTTTGCTGTAAACACATCTTTATAGAGAGACCAAGAACATCATCCAAGAAGCAGCTGATAACCATACCTCACACCTTGACTCTCAGAGAACATACAGACTGTTAACTTCCCATCAGGGACATTGCTTTGGGACCCCACTGGGTCAAGCTACAAGGGCTCAACCCTCAAATTATGGTCTGAGGTGCTTCAGGACTTGATGTGGTTTTAGGTCTGAGATGTGGATGATGGGATCGTTGTGAAGTTTTAGGAGCTGAAGGAAGAACCTTTGGATGACTCTAGTGAAAGTGATTTGGGAAATAAGGCTCTAGATTTTCTAAAATATATTTCCTTGAAACTTAAGGTATTTTCTTTTTAAGATCAAAATATTTTCTCCTATTTTGTTACTATTTTGAGGATTCTTGAGATAAAACTCACACATAAAATTAAGTCAAGGAGTGAAGAGTCTTGTATATTTCTAACTTTGAAAAAACGTAAGGACTATAGCCATACTGTAGGTCGTGTGGTCTTAGGTTCACACCAAGAAATTTAAATATGCCAAGGGATCCACGGTACCATAACAATTGTTTGTGTTTATGTTTAGTTGGTCTAGAGATGATACAGACATTACCAACCATGTTTGAAACTTAGCTTTAAATGTGAGCACTATTTAGACAAAAGTACATGACAAAAAATTAAAATAAGGTTACATGGTATACAGATAGAGATCTATGCATAGCTTTTAAAAACAACAGATAACTTCTTTTAAGAGTTTTTAGGACTCTTAAAAAGAAGAAATAGTTAACGGACAGCAAAAGATAACAGTCCTTTGAAGCTGATAACAATGTGATTATGATGATGATGGAATGCGTTGACAATGAGCAGAAAAAAGTTGATGAAAAACAAGAAATATCATTACCTAATGTTTCTGGAGCTTCGGTTGTAAGAGTGACAGGTTCAAGGACTGTAGGAAGAATTGGCCAAAAACAATAAAATAAGCCAAAGAGATTTTAAAAATTCACTTGAAGACTAATATCAGAAGTCAATGTTTAAGCTTCCGAACTGAGAGAAAAGAGACACTTGTTCTTTGCAAATTTGACCAAACAGTGGCTGAGTTCCCATTCATCTCATGTGGTATATATAGCATTGAGCTCTGCTAAATTTCACTGTGGTCAACAAATTCTCCTTATGTTTGATTATGTGACTCTCGCTAATATGGAAGACTCTGCTGGACAAATTTTTTACACATTTATGTAACATACTTTTCTAACTCTACTGGAAAAAGCATTTAGCAGTCTACTTGCTCTTCTGTAGATAAATGTCTACTATTTTTATCTATTTAGATAATCACAATACAGTAATAAGTCCGTATGTTTGAAAGCATAAGGATCAAATGGACTACGCTCATCAAAATTTCAAAGTGGTCTTTGATTCAATAAAAGTTGAGAAACATTTTTAAAACCTGCCAGAAAAGGAGTCAACCTACATTATCATATAAACTTTTAAGACATAGCACTTTTTGAATTTTGACAATTAACTAAAAACATCATTCATTGAAAGAATAGTTCCACCAAAATAATTACACAGATCCTAATACAATAAAATGCAATAAAAAGTAATATGAGCAAAGAAACGTGGTATTTCTGCAATTAATGAGACATAAGCAATGTGAATAAGGGATGGATGCAAATTCATGTTTGAAATGAAGCTTAAAATAGTCAATGCTGTTTAAACAAATACATGTGATCACATGACACAATGTTGAGCAGTTACACGACAGCCTGATGTCCTGAAATTAGTTTATGCACAGTTCTCTTAAACTCAACAGATAACTTGATATAGAGCTTAGCATAATTTCAAGATAAATATTATAATGAAATGACAACAGAGGATGTTGAAATGGTTTTAAGATGCAGGAGAACCTGTAGCTACGATGATATGACAATGAATAGGAAAAGCACTATTTGAAAGACACACGTTCTCATTACCCATGATTTCTGGAGCTTCTGTTCTAGGAGTACCAGGCTCAAGATCTGTAGTAAGAACTAATCAAAAGTAATGAAATAAACTCTTATGAAAAGCCAGCAGATTAAATCTTACCAGTACAATATTGCTTCAATAGATGTACAACGATTTTATTTTTTTCTGAAATTAAATACTGTTATTTAAAGATTTGGTGACCCTATAGCCAGGTAAACGTCCTTTATGAGACAGTCACAGCCTACACAATCTGGTAAGTATCTCAATAAAGGCAAAACGATATTCTCCTGGGTATCTAAGTACCTAATCCCAACTATTATAGAAGACTACCCTAGGAAACTTGATTAAACATTTTACCAAATATATACTTATGTAACTGTTCTGGCAATTGTTGGCTTATCTGTGGAAGCTTTAAGAAAATAGTATGTCTAAATAAGCATGGATACGATAAATAGCTTCAGTGTTTGAAAGGAGGCATAGCAAAGAATAAAGCAAATTGAATCATGTTCATCTTGTTGAAAACTCACATTTGGAAATAGGCTGACACCTCATTTATGGCAAAGGCACTCAACAAATCAGGATAAGGAACATCCACTCTGTGTGTGGTGCCCAGTAGAGTACCTTTCTGATCACAAAAACGTGTTATCCTACATAGATGGGAGAGACCACTGATGCTTCTAGAATCAGATCCAAACTTCTGAGTCACATATTGAAGAACATTAACTGCTTTTATGGATCTTTCCAAACTCAGCACTTTCATCACCACTTAGAAGCAGGATCTCTCTTGTTCCAGAAGCATGTGCCCTCTGGTTGGCCTCTATGGCTACCTTCTTTCTGCCTCTGTTCATGTCCATGATTTTATTCCTGTCCAATTCTTTATTTCTCTCCTTCACAAACTTCTCTATCTCGAAGTTCATAGGTGTTTATAGCCCCTGCAAAAGTGAGCTCGATTTGCACAGATACACTGCCTTAGTTCAATCTTTGAATGTTTCATATTGGGGTAGATTTTGACTTTGAGTAGACTACAGACTGAGAAGTAAAAACAAGCTGCCTACTTCTGTGATATTTTCACAGCTGTTGATGTAGCTGTAGGAGGATGGAAGGCACTTAATGTTTGTTTCTTAAATTAAAAATACTTAGTCTACTGAAGATCTTGTAACTTTAAGAGAAAAATATAATTAAAAAGAAAAAGTAAAAAAAATACATACTTAAAGAAAATATCTTTATGCAATAAACACAAGGAATTCAGCTCTCACACAGGCCTCCCAAACCATGATTTCCTTTGCTAACTCGACAGTGGGAGCAGCCCCAGATCATCTTGTGCCTTCTATCACTCCTATCATGGGCATTGATCCAAGACTGCCCAAAGCTACTAGGCCTCAGTCCCTTAACCAGAAACCCACATTTACCCAGTTTGGTTTGAGGTGCCTCTGTACTTGGTGTGGTTTTAGATTTGGGACGTGGACGACGGGTCCGTTTTGATGTTTTAGGAGCTGAAGAAAGAATACCCTTAGTTATTACATAGTCTGTAGTTCAGAAGCTATGGATAGTATGACATATGGCTCTATATTTCCTAAAACTTATTAAATTTCATTATATTTTAGGAAATGTATCTTTTTAGCTTTTTAATTAGAAACTTTCACCCTTATTACAGTACTGTGTCTTCTACAATTGAAAGCTCATTAGAAATGAGTCAGATATTAAGTTGTTAATTCAGGATGTGAAGTATCATACATGAAGCTTTCCTACTGAATAAAATTGGTAGAAATCACTGCTAAAATATGGTTGTGGTGATAGCCACATACTTTTTCACAGTTTACTAAAATAAGACCATGCAATTAACTAAACTGTCAATCAAAGAACAAATATCACATAGGTATTTTAAAAAGTAGACCTTTAGATCCACAGAGAAACTCCCTGACACTATAATAGTCATTAGAGTCAAGAGAATTCCTTTTTAATCCAGCTTTAACAAAACATTGATTAAAAAATACACATGATGACAAAACGATTTCATATGGTTACATGCACGACAGATGACTTGAGCTGGGTTCATGCATGGCTTTTTTAAAAAGAAGTCATAACTTGTTTTAAGAACTAGAATCTTCAATACTTTTAGGATGAAGAATATAATGAAGTGACAAAAGAGGATGATGATGTAGTCTTAAGAAGCAAAAGTACATGTAGATACGATGTTGATGGAATGAGATTGACAATGTGAAAGAAAAGCACTTACTGAGGATCACATTGCATTATTACCTTGTGTTGTCACCCAAGCCTCGGTCCTGAATGTAATAGGTTCAAAGTCTGCAGTAGGAACTGACCAAAAGTATTAAAAATAAGCCAAATGTTTGTTTTAAATAAAACTCAAACATTTATTAGAAATTGAATCTTACTAGTATAATATAGTTTCTAGACTATATAGCAACTTTTAAAAACTGTTAAACTAGAAAAGTAAATGGTTGATTTCCTAAAGTTTGGCCATACCTAAGCCAGGTTTATTTCCTTATCCCTCCTTCTTCAATTATCTGATTCTAATAAGTCAAAGTGGAATGTGTAGGTATTGCTACAAATATATCTTTGGAAAGAGATTGAGGCCTCAGCCTGATGAATCCAACAGGGTCTCCCTCCATTCTAATCAAAGAAAGAGCATGCCTTCATGTGCAGAGAAGAGCTTCTGATGTCTACTGGATTGAATCTCGACTTGTCTATCAGGTACCTAAGGATCAACGTCGTGGGAGTCCATGGACCGATTTAGATCCAGAAAAGCTTTGACTATGACCTTGAATCAGACATTCTCTATACTAGTGCTGCAGTTAGACTTTTTCCTCTGGTTAGCCTCTATTTTCATCCACCATTCTAATTTTATTCCTCCCACCTTTCTACTCACCCTTTTGTACCATGGCAATTTCAAGGTTCCACTCCTTCTTAATTTAACTTTTCCTGCTCCAAATATTACTCTTGAGACCCTACTGGGTTAGGCTGCTGGGACTCTAAACCAGGAGCATATGTTTACCTGGTTCTGACTCAGTTGTTTTTGGACGTGGTGTGGTTTTTGGTCTGGGACGTGGACGGCCTGTTCGTTTCGATGGTTTGGAAGCTGAAGGAAGAAATTTATCGATTACTACAAACTACATTATCTATAGTTCTGGAAGCTACTGAAGGTGAAAACATGACTAGATTTTCTACGACTTCTTAGACATTTGCTATTTTAGTTTGAGATTTTTGTCACATATAATCCTTTTATATCTTCTCTCATCATAGAAGATTTTTTGAAGACAAAAACCGCTTTTTAACTAAAGAAATAAAGATCAGTAACTATAAGTAAATTCTCATAAGGCAGCTTGATGACGCATCAAAAAGGTTAAGAACCATAGCTAAATTTTAATGAATAGTAGTGAAGGTCAGTCATACTAAATCTGAGATTTATAATTTAATATTTCAAGCTTTGGCATATTTTCTAAATAACTACTAAAATAAGAACATACTACTACCTAGATAGAAACAAAACAATAGTATGCAAATAGGAAAAGAAGGCAGAAATGTAGATGTGTAATAAATGAATCTTCTTGGCCCTATGATAGCTACTAATGGTTTTGTGTGTCTAGATAAGAGGTAGAGATCCATGATATGTTTGAAAACCAGTTTGATTACAAACACTGAATAAAGAAAACAAAGAATGACATGATACATTTTCATATAGGTTACATGGCACATGAATGTCCTAAAGTAGGTTCATGCATGACTGGTTCTATTAAAAACAAGTAATTAGTTTTAACACTTTTCATAATTTTAAGAAGAATGTAAATGAATGGCCACAAAGAATGACACTACTATCACACAAAGCAAGATGAAACTCTAGTTTTTATAATAATCAGGATAAGCCTTGTTGAAAACACAGTGTATCATTACCTAATGTTGTTCCAGGGGCCTCAGGTCTAAGAGTGACAGGTTCAAGGACTGTAGCAGGAACTGACCCAAAATACAGTAAACCAAAGAGATTTTAAAATACATGAAAAGTTAGAATATTTACACCCCCAAAATCTAACTTGTATATCAATCCTTCTTTAGAAACAAGAGAGAAAAGTAACTGAGAAAAAGAGTAGATTGTTCTTTGAAGATCTGGACAAGTCATAACCACAGTCAGTCTTAGGCTTAGCCTTTGAACTATCCTGAGTATTGTAAAAAAGTCAACATGAAGTTCTAGGTTTCAACTAATAGATTCTAACTGATATGGAAAATTCTGCACTGGAAAATATTTTTATGCATTTACCTAATATATACTTAGAAAAGAAATTGTCTTAAAAAATCTGATCAACCTATACTTCTATGGAACCTGAAAATGATCACTTAATATGTTTAAGTCAACATGGAGAAATAGACAGCTTGTAAGTTTGAAATCAATATAAAAATTAATCATTCAAGAAGACTGTGTTGATCTTGCCAAGAACTCATCTATGCAAACAGGCTGAGTCCTCTGTTTAAGCCATGGCATATAAAAGAGCAGGATAAAGACAGTCACTCAGTCTGTAGTACTGAGTAGAGCATATGCTTGGCTTAAGCCCAGAAAAAGTGAAAAGACAGTTCATGTCTATGTCACACCTAAGCTCTCAGGTCAGGTCCTCAAAGTCCTCTTTCAACTGTCCAGATGGACTCTTGCAAATGCAGCATCATCAACAGCCATATTTTGATCAGCTTAGGACAGTCTGTTCTAGGCAGACTGGACTGCCTTTATGGTTGACCCACCACCCACCCTACCCACATGTCCAGTCCTTCAGTTGGCTCACTTTCCCCTCCATCTGTTCAAATCCTATAGTAGGTCCAAGGCCAATTCACCTTGACCTTTTCCTTTGCAAAGTCAATATTTAATGTTTGTATCATGCAGACATGTTCTCAACTTCACTGTTTTAGAAATAAAATAGGTCTCCCGCTGTTGACATATCACCCATGGTTGCCAATATTAGTCCAGGAACATGCAAGGGGCTTACAATTTGTTTATTTACTTGAACTGAAGATATTGGCTCTGCTAAAGAAGTTTTAAGATTTGAATGGAATTTGACAGTAAGAAATATACTAAATTCATATCGAAGAAGACTCTTATAGAAAGAATAAAATATTCTGGCACCCACTGTATCTCACACAGTTCTATTCTTGACACATAAGCGGAAGAGACATTACTATGCCTCATGATCTAATGCTTAGAGAAAATAAGAGTTTGGCACTGCTTTGGGTGCCCACTAGGGTACTAGGAATCACACATTTACCCGGTTTGGTCTGAGGTACTTGAGGGCTCGGTGTGGTTTTAGGTCTGGGACGTGGACGATGGGGCCTTTTTGATGCTTTGGTAGCTGAAGAAAAAAAGTCTTGTGTTACTCTAGGCTTATGGCTCTTGATACTAAGGAGAGGTTTTTCTAAAACTTGTTAGATTTCCTAGAGTTTCAGGAAATTGTCTGTAGTTTAAAAGTTTTACTCATTTTATGCCAATGTGACTTTTTTTTTTAAATCACTGAGGTACTTTGAGAGCAAACTCACATATATAATGAAGTCATTCATTCAAGACATGAAGATTAGCATGTATAACCAGATACTCATAGAACTTTCTCATTGGGAATAAATGATTGACAAGGTATGCTCAACCGTGGTACAAGGGGTACAAAAGTTAGGGTCACACTAAGGACAAGCTTATAATTTAAAATTTCAGATTTGGGTAATCCTTATTTGTCAAATTAGTAATAAAACACATCACTACTTAAAGCACCTACAAAGAAACAACATGCAGAGAGCTTTTTAAAAAATCTAGAAACTTTATGTACAAAGGAACATGAGTAGCTGTTATTGCAGATCAGCCTAGATAAAAAATAGATCCCAATTTGTTTGAAACTCAGCTTTAACATAGAGCACTGCTCAACGAAGCACAAGATAACATGACAATCTTAAATCACCACATGGCAGGTAAATGTTTTAAGCTAAGCTCATGCCAGCTCTCGTAAAAACAAACAAACATTTTTAAGAGGTATCAGTACTCTTAATTAGAAGGAAGTGATTGAATGGCAGTGGAGGATGATGGTGGCTTTCTCATAAAGAAAAGCCATGTTATGGGAATGGAGACTGAATGGACTACACAATAAAGAGCAAAAGCACTTAGCGAATGGCACAGGATCATTACCTAATGTTGTCCCAAAGGTCTCAGTTGTAAAAGTAACAGGTTCAAGCTCTGTAACAGGAACTGAATAAAATAAAAGTTTAAAAATATATATATATATATTAAGAGCTACAACATTCACTTCAAAATGAATATTGCCAGTATACTATCACCTCTAGAATAATTTCCTTTTTTAAATTTCTGGATGAAGGGAGTTATAGACTGAATTGTGTCTCCCTAAAATTTATATGTTAAAGCCCTAACTCTCAATGTGCCTCTCTTTGAAGATAGGGCCTTTAAGGAGTCAGTTAAAGTTAAATAAAGTGTTAAGGGTGGGACCTTGACCCAATAAGACTGATGTCCTTACAAAAAGAGGGAGAGAGATGAGAGACACTCATGCACAGAGTAAGGCCATGTGAGGATACAGCAAGGTGATGGCTGTCTGAAAGCCAAGGACAGAAGCCTCAGGAGAAATTAAACCTACTGGCACCTTGATCTTAGACTTCTGGCCTACAGAGTTGTAGGAAATAGATTTCTGTTATTTAAGCCACCACTTCTGTGCTATTTTGTTATGGAAGCTCTAGCAAACTAATACAAAGGGAAATTAAAGATTTGATCAAACTATAGTTAGGGACTTCTTCATCTCATGAGACAGTCATTATTTTTGGTCTCTGTTTACCACCCATTAACTCTTAGTACAGGGAAAACTTTATCTAATGGAAAGAAGAGATTTCTGATGCCCATGAAAATGATATCAGCCTCCTTTGACTTCCCATTTTTACATCCAAATGCAGAATCGCCAACACACATGTTTTGACTGATACTTAGAAGAAGCAGGATCTCTGCCCCTCTGTTGTCTCTACACATATCTTACTTTTTTGTCTTTGTTCACTCTTGCCTTTCCACCTGTGTAAATTCTGATGTGACATCAAGGCCCATATTCTGACCCTGCTCTGCTGAAGCCCACATAGATTTTTTTTACTTCTTTGAGACCTTATATAATTAATCTAACACTTAATGTTTACATGCCCAAGAGAAATCCTGAATTTGCAAAAACATCCTGCTTGTTCTCATTCTGTAGGCTTTTTGTGCAGGAATAGTTTTTGTGCTCAACTAGCCTGCAGAATGAGAAGTAAAACTTGTCTCCTATGACTCAGAGGAAAGACTATATCTCTTCCAAACAGGAACGGCCACTCCTGAAGGGGTAAGGGCTCTTCATGATTCTTTCACCAGGGGGTATGTGGGTTGACATTCTCAATCAGTGATAGACTACAAGGCTCCTGAAACCAAGGACTTCACATTTTTCAGGTGCATCTAGATATGGAGTGGTTTTGAGTGAATGATATGTCCACTGAGATATTTTTGAAAGTGGAAATAGATAACCTTTAGTTATTTTAAAGTTTATGGCTCTGCAAATTACAGGGATTAAATTTTTTTAAAAGTTTTCCAAATCTTGATAGATTTTCAGGAAATATAGATTTCTAGTGTAAAAATTTTATCCTTACTATGCTACTGTATCTTCTTTTATTACTGAAGATATCGGAGGTGGGACAAAATTGACATAAAAATGAAGTTATTAACTCAGAGAGTAAAGATTGGTATTTTTATCACATTATCCTAGAGTTCCCTGACTGCATTAAAAGGTTAAGAATCATTTCTAAACTATGGTGGAGAGTAAGGGGGAGTAAGATTAACCCTAAGGATGGGGCTTGCTATTTAAACTTATTGGCTTTGATCACATTATCTGTTAAACAATTTACTAAACCCTTATTACCCAAACGTTAACAAAACAACAAAAAACCAAGCAGATTTTTAAATGGTAGATGTACAAAGAATGTATAAAGAAACTTCCTCATTAAATCTGGTTAGGATAGATCAAGATCAGGCACTCCAATAGATATATGAAATTTACCTTAATAGAGAACTCCAGTTAACCCAAAAACTAAGGTGGTATGAAAAAAAATTAAAGCAAGTTACAGGGAGGGAAGCTATCCCAGACTAGATTTAGGCATGGCTCTCTTAAGAACAAGAGATTGGTTTTATGCATGTTCAGTTGAAGATGAAGAATGTAACTGAAAGGCAATAGAATGGAATGGGTTCGACAATGAGCAAAAAAAGTTCTTGCTGAAGGTCAGAAAGTGGCATTACCAAATGTTGTCCCCGGATCCTCTTTTATAGGAGTAACTGGTTTAAGGACCATAGCAGGAACTGAGCGAAATTAATAATAAAAAATGTTAAATATTTATATAATCTTAGAACATCCACTTCAAAAAGAATTTTATCAAAGTAATAATGTATCTATAATATAACGCAAACACTATTAACCCTCTGAGCTGAGGGATATGGCATTTCTGCACTCAGGTACCAATTTATCGCTTGGTAGGGACTGTCTTTATACTCAGATAACTTCGTGCCCCTGAAGTTTCTCACCCTTTGATAATCCTAGTCTAAGTAATGTACCGAAGTAGAACATATCATCTTGCTGAAAGCTCATCTTTGGAAAGAGATCACATGGGTACTTAAGAGAAGAGGATAAGTAAGAGGCAGCCATTCAGTCTGAGGTACAGCAGGGCATTCCTCTGTCCAGTGCTCTTGTAAAGCCTGACTACATATGGATACTGATGATTCTTACATGAAATTCAAACTTCTAAGTCCAACATTCAAAATCCATTTTCAGCTGGCCCTATGGGCCCATTTAACTGCAGCAACCTCAGTGAAATGCTCTGATCAACACTTTGAAGCCTGGCAGCCTCCATCAGTCAGAGAAGCCTCTGCCTTCTCTCACTGGCCTCCACACATGTCCTTCCTTTCTGTACTTCTCTGTACCCACCTTCCCCCATAAACTATGGCCCATAGGCCAAACCTTGCCCATGGATTGTTTTCAAATAGCTCATGAGAATGAAGAATGATTTTTCTTTCCTGTTTTAAATGGCTGTAAAAACTAATAAATAAATAAATAGATAGATAGATAGATAGATAGATAGATAGATAGATAG